AGGGAGGTTGCTGTTCTGGTCCCTACTTAGGAAGACGGATCTGACTCTAACCAGAGCCAAAGTTCCCACAAGCAGCTTGTCACCAACTTCAGCCAGCTGGGGGACTAAGTCATCCAAAGCTTAGAGGATAATAGGTAGGGATCTACCCAACTCAAGAAGACAGCCCACCAATTTTGCAGACAGATTGTGGGGCCAGCTACTATTTTCATGGACTTATTGTGCCCCCCAACCCATGCCACTGATTCACCATGTAGCCCCAGTGCCCCCTCCCCACACTGACTGGATGAGACAGCTGTCCATCATGCAGCCCCACTCTTCACCACTGATTGATAGAGAGGGGCAGGGCTGCACAACAGGAAGCCCATAGCTAAATCAGCAGCAAGAGGAAGGGATGGCAGCCATCTTGCCTGCTCACCTTTGTGCCAACAGCCCACTTTGTGCCAGACTGTGCAGCCAGGAAGACTGCTGGATCCCACTGGGGAGCCAGTATTTTATTTTTAGTAAGGTTTTCTTGGTTTTGTGGGGGGGCAGGGATTCCTGCAGATTTTGTAGAGATTGCCCATGAAATTCGTGTAATCGTGATTTGAGTAGGCCCCTAACCATAGGAAAGTAGGGCTGGAAAGGACCTCACAAGGTCATCTAGTCAAGAGCCCTGCTTAAGGCAAGATCATCCTGATTAAATAATCCTAGCATTGTGGCCATCAAACCTGCTTTTGAAAGTTTCCAAGTACGGAAATCCCACAACGTCTCTGGGTAGTCTTTTCCAATGCCTGACCACCCTCACACACAGGAATTTCCTCCTAATCCCCAACCTAAACTTCCCCTGCTACATCTTGAGGACACTGCTCCTAGTCCTGTCTCCTGCAGTGACAGAGAAAAGTCCATCTTCCATCCTCTCTGTAACAGCCCTTCAGGTATTTGAAGTGTTGCCAAAGACCTGGCACAATCATCACAAATACGGTCTCCGGCTATGTGACAGACCTAAGGTGGCAGGGGAGGGTTCCAGACTGCTTGGGCTGGTGTAACCAAAGAAAGCAGGGAAGAAACATTTACATTTCAAACCAAAACCTGTAAGGGGTAAGAGACTGGAATATCTGAGTAGAGACAGAGGCACTGAATGCATGAAAGTCTTGAGGGGTATGTGACATCTGAGGAATGTGAAAAGCATAGCACCGAAGGAGAAGGAGGAGGTGCAGATTCACCTAAAAGCCCAGGCAGAGGTGAGGCCTGTGGGACCTCTTTCTCATTACCCAAGACAATGTGCAGATCCCCCAGAAGGACTTTCTGAGTATCTGGCTAGAAAGAGCCACTCTGCCCTCAGGATTACATAAGACCTATGCAAGGCTTCCTGTTGTCTTTTTGGCTTAGTGGGCACGTCTACATGTGTATTTATACGTGCCTAAACTTAATGCGCCTTTCCTCAAGGCAATGTATGCATGCACCTTCCCGTCGCTGACTGGCTGGTGCGGGGGCATGTGCCCCCCCTGACTCCAGAGGCACCAGTCACCCATGGAACAGACTATTCCTGTTCAAGCATTTATGAATTCAGTGCCACTACCTAAAGTCTAACATTACGTCTGGTAACAAAAGACCCCTTCAGTCTTCTCTTCTTCAGGCTAAATAAGCCTAGTTCTTTCAGCCTTTCCTCATAAGTCTCATCTTCCAGGACCCTGATCATATTGGGTGCTCTCCACTGGACTCCTTCAAAACTGCCCACGTCCTTGAAGTTTGGGGATGCAAAGCTGGACACAGCAGTCCAGGTGAGGCCTCACCAGTGCTCAAGGCCCTAGTTTTGCAAGTGACACTCCTGTTAATACAACCCAAAATGCTGTTGTCTTTTTTTTTTTTTAAACCACTAGAGTAGCCTGCTGACTCATATGCAGCTTATGGTCCACCATAACCCCCAGGTGCTTCTCTGCAGTACCAGAAACTAGCCAGTCATTCCCCCAGCTGACATTTCTGCAGTCTATCCAGGTCATTCTGGATCCTACCCCTACCTGCTGAACTGTCTGCAATTCTACCCAACTTGATGTAACCTACAAATAGGCTAAGCATACATTCAATCCCATCACCCAAATCATTAAAGAAGATGCTGACCAATTCCAGATCCAGGACTTACCCCCAGAAATCACACTTGATACCACATCTCAACTAGACACTGAGGTATTAAGGACTAGTCACGGAGTACAATGATCCAACTAGTTATATATCCACCTTACAGTACTTATGTTTGATTTGTATTTCCTTAGCTCCTTAATAAGAAAATTAACAAGGTTTTTGACACTGTCTCAAAGTCAAGGTATATCAGATTCACTGCTCTCCTCTCATCCACAGAGCCTGTTACTTTATCTTAAAAGGAAATCTGGTTGATCAGGCATGACTTGTTCTTGGTGAATCCATGCTGGGTCTTCCTGGTCACCTTTTTCTCCTTCAGCTGCTTCATAATGCATTTCTTGAGGGCCTGCTTCATAATTTTTTCCCCCAAGTATAGAGGTCAGGGCTGACTGGTCCGTAATTCCCTGGATTTGCCTTCCCCTTCTTAAAAGATGGGCACTATATTTTTCCTTTTGCAGTCATCTAGAAACTCATCCAAGCTCCAGGAGTTCTCAAAAAATATAGCCAGTGGCTCTGAAATTACTTCTGCCAATTCCTTCAGTACCCTCAGATGCATTCTATCTGGCCCTGCGGACTTGAAATTAACTCAGTTCTCTAAGTAATCCCTAACCTGGCCTGCCATTACTCTAGGCTGTTTGTCTCCTTTCCTATCTCTGCTGCCAACTGCATGCATCTTGTAGCTGTCCCTATTTTGAAGGCTGAAGTGAAAAAAGGCATTAAATACTTCAAACTTCCCCAATTCATATGTGACAAGATTGCCTTTTGCAAACCATATGGTTTTTCTGGTCCTCTTACTTTGGACATACCTGTAGAATCCCTTTATTGTCTGTTATGTCTCATCAGCTACATCTCAAATTGTGCCTTGGGCTTCCAATTCTCTCTGCATGCTTATGCGATACTCTCATACTATGACCAAGTTTCTACTTTATATAAGATTCCTTTTTGAGTATCAACTTGAAAAGCTTCCAGGCTGGTCTCCTGTTGCACTTCCCATTCTTCTGCATCATCAGGTAGCTTGCTTCTGTGCCCTTAAAGGGGGCTTCCTTAAAGTACAGCCAGCAATCCTATACTCCTTTTCCTCTCAGAGTTGCCTCCCAGGGGATCCTGCCTATCAGGTCAGTGTCATTTTGTAGCCACTGTCACCAAAGTTCCTTTCCACCTTCATATTGTCAACCAATTCCTCCCTGTGTGTTAACAGCAAGTAAAAAAAATAACTTCTACTCTGGTTGGCCTCTATCTGAATCAAAAAGTTATCCTCATTGCACTCCAGGAATTTGCTGGACTGCTTGTGCATTGCAGCATTTCCCTCACTTAGATCTTCTAAGAACCTTTTTCCTCCCAAGGCCTTAAGTACCTTTACCTTTTGAATTAAATCTACGTTCTACTATTCATTGTTCTATTGATATTGATTTTTTTCCTGAAAAGTAAGTCCTCCATTGAAGAACTTCTCGGATGATTTACAACGTGAGCTGGGAGGTTTTATAGACTTTACCTTCAAGAGAAATGTTAAACCAACAGATTTTTTTCATAGGTGAAATTTAGTTAAACAGCTGTTAACAAAAATATGCTACAAAATTTGAATAGTTTAAACAAGCATCACTTTCTTTTTGACCAAGGTCAACTTTCCTTGATATGCAGTTTTGTCAAACTTGCTCATTCACAGCCATCCAGACGATTTTTCACACTTGCACCTCTTATGTGAAAAGACAAGCACAAATAACCCTAAGTTTTGTAGTTTAAACACATTCTTTGTAAATAAAAAAAAGCATGCACTTTTGCCTTTGTAGATCACTTTAAAACATGGATTACAATACGGATGCACATATTGAAGTTAACTCACAGTAGCAAAATGACTGTTAATTAAAGTACCCAGGTTCTGGCTAAGGACTTTATCCTGCAAAGAAAGCATTACGTATCCTCATCAGTAAAGTCAACAGTACTTTTTTTTTTTTTTTTGGAACTACAACTACCTGCTAAACAAGGACTACTCATGAAGAAGAGTGCCTGCATTTGAACACCCTAGTATAAAGAAAGTTCCGCTTAAGTTAAGACACAGCAAAGAAGAGACGGCAATCATTTCCAAAACATGCACACCCCCTATTCCAACTGAAGTACAGCCTATGTGAGGAGGGTCAAGACTAGTTAAAATGGACTGGGATTTTACAGTGTTGTAATGCTGGGGCGCTGTATTTTGAAAGAACCCCTAAGTTATCCAGCAAAGCAAACTTCTCAAAAAAGTCTACTAAGCTATAGTTTGAAAAAATGCTCTGGTTAGCCAGTATTGGTTTTAAAAGTACTGAAATTTTATGAAAATGAGCTGCAGACAGACAGCATGAGCACTCTGGCACCCAATAATAATTTCTTATACAACATGCTCTTCACAGAAGTATTTTACAGTGATGTATTGTTATTATGAACCCAGCCTTCAGTGGGGAAAGTCAGGCACAAAAGCAATGACTTGCCCAAGGTTACACAGCAGGCTAGAAATTCTAAGATTAGGTTCTTCCTAATCCGAAATCTGCACAGGAACGCCTCTCCTAAAAATACTGAAATGAGCACATGAGCAAGGTCTATAAACCAGTTTGCCTTAGACCATGGGTATCAAACACCTGGCCCACGGAGCCCTATCATCCATTCCATGGTGCTGCCTACTGCATTCAGAAAGCACAGGCCCCAGCTCTGTGTGCTACGTGCTGCGTGGAGCAGAATGCATGTGGCAAAGGGCCAAGGGCACATGATGCATGTGACACCCATATCAGACTGGTCCTGAGCACTCATCTGCGGTTGGTCCAGATAGAACCCATGGACCAACATCATGTTAGATCCAGCACTCAGGGCCAAACCACTGCAGGCCCCACGTGCAGCATGCACCCCAAACTAGTACCATATGTTGCATGTAGCACGCTCCCCTGGCTGCCCTTGTACTACGTGCAAGACCAGGACCACCAGATGCTGCAATGGCATGTGGGACAGGAGCCAGGGTACACACTGCAAGCAGTATAGGCAGCTGGTCCAGAACACCTACCTGCAGTATGTGACAGGTCCACACCCTGTGGGGAAGGGTTGCATGCAGAGCATGATGCCCTCTGGTGGCTATGCAGCCCCTGCCCAGCTCCATCTCCAATGAAGTCCTTAATGGCCCTTGATTGCTTGCACACCACACCTTGTTATTGAGATTAAGTAACAGAGGCTGTCCACGGGCCTTAGAGTGAGCCTGAGTCCAATCGACTCATCAACAGGTCCCTCCCAGACCCCGTTAGTCTGGATCTGGTCTTCATGCTCAATGAACCCTCTCAGCCTGTCTGTACCCCTGCAGGGCACCTATAGCCTTAAGAGCTAATTGTGTGGCTCTGTTCCTCCACTACACCATGCCCCAAGCCTCGCAGGTGTTACCCTAAGGTTGTTACTTTCACACACTTGGCCCTCCCTGGGCCCTTAGACTCCCTGGCCCCACATTCGGCTCCCTCTGGGCTCCCAGACCCTTGGTCCCATGCATAGCCCCTCGCTCTGGACTCCTAGTCCCACATACAGCCCTCCCTCTCTAGGCTCCTGGTCCCTCTGCACAGCCCCTCTCCCTGGGCTCTCAGACCCCTGCTCTGGCTCAGC